AGAAGCATTTTAAAGCCACGGCCAGAGCAATAGAGGTGTGATTGGGAAAAAAAAAAAAAAAAAATCGTGGGAGTATGGTCGGGTGGGTGGTAGCCAGACCGTGAGAGGGGGGGATTACCCTGCACCCCCCCCCCCTCGACGACGCCCCAGTTGGAACTGATATTATATTGCAGGGCAATTTCGGTTCAGCTTTGTTTGATAAGGATACTTTTAAAGGAAGGTCGCGTCCGAATTCGGGGGGGGGGGGAGAGACCATCTGAAGCCTCGAGGAAGCAAATTTTGATAAAAATACTTTTTTTTTTTTTAAGAGAGAGAGAGAGAAATACGGGAAAATTCTGATATTATACATTTCATAATGACTGCATTCGTCAAGTGGTTAACCGCGTACATAAAAACTTGTGGAAGTGTATGTGATCGAAATTCGAGTCCGAGGCTCCGAGGCGCCTGCGGGAGGTAAACAGAGGCGGAGGAGCCGGACGGCAGGCCGAGCGGACGCTTCCTTTTGAAAGCAGGGACGTACTGACCTTTACTTTGCCAGTTGAGAGCGCAGTGTGTGCGCGAAGGAGTTTTGAATCAATTGAGATGTTATTCATTCTTGCAATCTAGAGTAGTTCCTCAGAGTTCTCACCTCGGCGCCGGGTCCTCGGCAGTAGGGCTAACCGCTTACTTCAGTGCCGTCTAGTATTTTACCTGATAACATTTTTTTTAACGAATTCATAAACAACGCTTGTACATACAAATTAGCTTATATCAGTTATACTTATTATAAATAGGTATTAATAATTATTTACTTTTGTCGAATTTCATCCAGTGCTGCTAACAAGTGTGTATAAGCAGAATATTTTTAGATAACTAAAAAATAAAATAATAGCATGAAAGTTAAAAATGATAATTGCAAACACATGTTGCTGAAGATACAATTTACAGTTAAATGTCACTGTCATAGTCTGATGTTTCACTGAAGTTTGACTACATTTTTTATTAAAATTATGTTTGCACAGACACACATTCACATACTGTGTAAATATATATCTATATATATCTATATATATCTATATATCTATATCTATATCTATATCTATATCTATATCTATATCTATATCTATATCTATATATATAGCAAATGCAGACAGTATTCTTGTAGAGAACAAACACATACTCGGTGATACAAGAAATAATTGGCAGACACGAACATTATTGTCACAACGAGAAAATACTCTCAGCTCTAACTGGCCAAGTATATCGCAGACAGTATTTTGTGGGGTTCATGGGTGGCAGAGGCCCCTTTCAACCCACCCCTTTCGCAGTGCCCAAAGGACACGCCCAGTTACAGCAATACACACACACAAACATA